TAATTTCAGAAGATCACTCTTTCAGTGGGAGGTGAAGGATTTGAATAGATTGAAACGACTGCTGATGAATGCTCTAGATATTAGGGAAGATAGAGCTGATTCTTTGCATTGGAATGCAGATCCATCAGGAAACTTCATTGTTTCCTCTACTTATAAGTTGTGTGATAATTCCTTACATACAATGAGTGAGGTAACTGACCTTATATGGAACAATGTATCTTTACCTAGAGCTCAATTCTTTGGTTGGTTGGCATGGAAAGGGAGGATAAAGACTTCCAGTTTTTTGCAGCGAATTAAAGTGCTCTCTATTGAGGCTAATGTGAATTGCATTTTCTGCAATGTGGGAGTGGAAAATGTCAATCATGTGCTTCTGTATTGCTCTTTTGCTTGGAAGGTTTGGTCATATATGCTAAATTGGTGGGGGTTGCTGTGGGCTCAACCTGGTACTGTGCATTGTTTATTAGATTCTTTGGTTGGTTGGCATGGAAAGGGAGGATAAAGACTTCCATTTTTTTTTGCAGCGAATTAAAGTGCTCTCTGTTGAGGCTAATGTGAATTGCATTTTCTGCAATGTGGGAGTGGAAAATGTCAATCATGTGCTTCTGTATTGCTCTTTTGCTTGGAAGGTTTGGTCATATATGCTAAATTGGTGGGGGTTGCTGTGGGCTCAACCTGGTACTGTGCATTGTTTATTAGAATGGTGGGCTGGTACAAGGATGAGAAAACAAGAGAGGGTGGTCTGGAAGGCCATGCCTTTGGCTGTGCTTTGGTCCTTTTGGAAACTGAGAAATGATTGCATTTTTAATGGCATTCATCCAAACTTTGAGGAGCTGTGTGAGGTCATCAAAGTGCGAGTTGCGATGTGGAGCAAAGCTGCTGGCTCTTCTTTCTCAGGGTTTCAGTAACTGATATTGTGAACCACCTGCAACAGGTAAGGTTTTGCAGTAGGGGTATTGGCTGAGTAAGCCTGTTCTACAGTAGGGTTAGTATGAACCACCTGCTCTTTTTTGTTTTGTTTGGTCAGTCTCTGTTTAATTCCAGATTTTGATGTATATTACTCTATTTTGGCTTTGGTTTCTCTGGAATGTGGCTGCATTGATGTCAGGTCTGTTGGTTTTGCATTGGTGTGAGGTGAGGGTGTTCTAAGCAGGCAGGGTTGCTGGACTAGTGGTGTGATGCTGGTGCATGGTACTGGTCTGCTGGATTGCTGGTGAGTAAGTCTATTCTGTAGTAGGGATAGTGTGAATCACCTGCTATTTTTGTTTTTGTGTATATTGCTCTGTTTTGGCTTTGTTTTCTCTGGAGTGTGGTTGCATGGTGTCTGGTCTGCTGGTTGTCTGTTAGAATCTGAGGGTGTTCTAAGCAGTCAGGGCTGCTGGACTGTTGGTGCATGTTTGGTGGTTGCTGTGTTGGTGCATTAGTTCATCATCCAATTCCTTGTTCTTCTTGGCAACAGAATTGTCTTTCTACTCTAAGGCATTAGTTTTGGTTTGGGAATTCCTTGTTGGTGCATCAGTTCATTAGTTTTGGCTTGGGAGGTATTCTACCAACACAGGAATCTGTAGGGGAGTTTTGTTGGTGATTTTTGGTGTTTTGGTTTTTGTGTATCTTGTGGTTGTTCTCTCTTCAATCTTGTGGTGTGTTGGCAAATGATTGGGCTTTCCTCACGGTGCCAACCTAGTGGGGATCGTGCGATTTGCTTTGATGCCTTTTGCACTTCCTCTTCATTTTTCTTGATGTAATTCCTATTTCGCAATTTTCATCAATAAAGGGTTGTTTTGCTGTTCAAAAAAAATTTAACGGATAGTGTCATTTTAGTTCGATAAATAACGGTTGTTAAGTTATTTTAACGGAAAGTCAAACAATGTGTCAATTTGGTCCTTGTATTTTTCACAATGTGTTAATTTAGTTCCTGTCAAAATCGAGAAAATTGAAACTATAGGGACCAAATTAACACATTATTTGACATTCCGTTAAATTAATCTAACAACCGTTATTTATTGGACTAAAATAACACAATTCGTTATATTAAGGGGCAAAATCGAGCAAATTGAAACTATAAGGACCAAATTGACATATCGTGTAAAGTACAGGAACCATTTACATAATTTACCCATGTTTAAAAACATGCCATTGGAGGATATGATCCATAAGCTTTTCATATCCTCATTTGAACAAAATAAGGGCACACAATTCTTCAAAAAAATGTTCATAGGCATTAAGAAGTGTAGACAAAGAGCATCTGCCCGTGTTGTATACATTGGGTGGTGGAAGGTCCAAATTGCCTATCAATCAATCCATTACCATCACTCAAACCCCCCCTTCTTTTACCCCTACATTTGTCACAATTGATGGGTTACCTCTTTGCCCATTGAAAGATATGCCAAACACCTTTCCTCCACGTTGAGAGCACCATACACCAAACCCCACCACTCACAACATTGCCATTATAGTTTCTCCATTGGTGGACCTAAAGATTTTTCAGTACGCTTAAACGGATTAAAATTCTCTATCATAATCATCCTTGTAATAATCTTACAATGGTAGTTTAAGTGAGTTATTCAAGTCCAAACCATATTTAGTTGTAATGTAAGTAGATACTTTAAGCCCAAAACACTATCATCCTAGCAATAATCTTGATTATTGTAAGAAAGTAATATAGAAAATCTTATTCCTATTTGAACAGTTACTCAATGGACACAATTTTTCATAGAACCAATCACATAAAGAATAAATAGTGTAATCTAAACAAAATTGTATCTTTTATAACGAGTCCCACCATGCAATATGTATAGTCATGATTATTTTATGTGATTAGTTTTATATTCGTAGTTTTGTAGTTTGAATTTTAATTCGGAGGAAATATAAGGGTTTAGTGGATAAAGTGCTTCCTTATCAAAGTATTGTTTAGTTTGAGTATGAATCTTACCTCTTAGGTGATATAGATTTCTATTTCGTTATTTTCTTCATAATAATAATAATAATAAATAAATAAATAAATAAATAAATAAACATACATTTGAGTTTAGAGAGAAGTGAATGTTATAAAAGGGAAGGGTTAATATTCATATTGTTAGTATTTTGTAACAAGGTAATGAAGAGTATGAAGAGGGAGTGAGAGGACAAAGCCCGCAATTTGGACTATTTTTATTGGGGAACATTATCTTTCAGTGATAATTTAAAAAATTTAATAAAAAAATTATGATTTTAATTATTAATATTCATAAAATTTATCACTTATTTGTAATAATTTTTCAAAGCATGCACTAAATTGAAATTTATCCTTTTCTTTTCCTTCAAAATTGAGAGCAAACGGTATTTGTGAAAAGATAAATATATAATTTATATAAAATATTGCCTATTTGGTTTTAGCAACCTATTTCTCTTTGTAATTACTGTCTAACCAAATAAAAACGAAAATTCATCCGCTCTCCCTTTAGTCCATTTGGCCCAAAAAAATAATAATTGCCGCATAAAAAACATATTATGAAAACCAAAAAACATTTGCCAAACAAGTTATTTATCAAAGGTAAATGGTAATTGGTGAAAGGGAATGGACACATACTACCGCCATAGTACCTAATAATTTCTCCTTAGACCATCTCCCATCCTTCGTTAGATTTTTATCAAATTTAAATTTGTTAAAAAACTAATAAAACTGTGCTTCAATATTAACATCAAACCAATATTAAATTCAACATATCTCAGATCTTTCATCAAATTGAGGATGCTTGAGCCTTTCATTAAATTACTATAGATAGCCATTAGCTTTACAGGTATGCATGAGCACCTGATGACCAATCGGATGTTCGACTAGTTGTCTCTCCGGTCGGCCACCTGCTTGCAAAATTTGTTTTAGGATTTGGAAAATTTACACTGGCCGATCGACTGGTCGAACATCCCCTGATTGTCCTCCGAGTTGACCAGTGCACTACAATAAATTACACTTTTGATGACTAAATTTTTAGTCTCCAAAAGTCATTTTTTAGTCGTCGAAATTTTTTGCCGACTAAATTTTTTGGTAGCCATCTTTGTCGCTGGATGATTGTCGGGAAAGGTATTAGCGACTAAATTTTTTTGTCGCCGAAAGTTGCCAATTGGTGACTAAAAATTTAGTCGCTCAAAGTTTTCAATAAATGTGTTTTTTTGTTTTAGCGCCTAAAATATTTAGTCGCCAAAAACCATTGATTTCTTTTTGGCTCTCAGTTATTTAGTCACTAAAAACGTGGCACTCCTTTTTGGCTACTAATTTTTTAGTCGCTAAAATCACGGTGCTCTTTTTTAGCTACTAATTTTTTGGTCGTCAAAAACTTTCATTTTTTTTGGCTACTAACTGTTTAGTCATCAACAAATTCCTTTTTTATTTTTTTGGCTGCTAAATATTTAGTTGCCAAAAGCTCTACTTAATAATTTTTTTTAAATACACAAATTGAATATTTTTCATTAATTTCTAAATTATATACATTCTATTATTAATGCAATCTGTAACCTGTACATATACAGAATAATACATCTATCAATTATAATCTAAATCCATTATCAAAATACACATTTCATTATAAACTATCCAAAAATTTTAACTTGTAACATCATATTCCAAATATCATATAAATTCATACCAACCAAGTATAATCTATCTAAATTAAATATTACATACAAAAATAATGGATTTCCAAAACAGAAGATTGTACAAAAATAAATGTCTTCCCTATATTGAACAAATGCTCTTCGTACACAAAAATAAATATCCACAATAGCCCACGCAAAAACAATCTATAAAAAAAAAATAATAATAATAAAATAAAATAAAATTAACCATTAGCACTTATTCAATAAAATTAATATTTCAAATTATAACAATTATAAAATTAATAATTTTGATGTATTATACTCTGCAAATTATAAAAAATTATAAAATTAATAATTCTAACTTTCTACCTATTAATACAATTTTTCTACACACCTTCAAATGCAAAAACTCCACTTTCTTACTTGCCTGCCTATTCCTACAATCATCAAAGACAAAGATAATAGTTAACCATTAAGCTTCGTCTTACCATTCAAATACAAGTCTAATTATAACCAAATAAAAAATGTTTTTACTGAGTACTCTACACAATTCCCACACTCCAAATGCACCGCTCTTTCTTTGGGGTGCTCCTGCATTAGTCCAGCAAGCCTCCATGGCTTGGAACTGTTTTGTGCCAACTTTGCTGGTCCTTCCATCCAGCAGCTGATTAAACACAAACAACTTTAACAACAAAAAGAATTTCCTCTTTCATACTTGTGGTGTTAATGTTCTAGAAGCTAGAAAATGAAGATACCAATGAAAAAAAAACAATGGTCAGTCAAGCTACCTTTGGAACCAAACCATGAGCTTTTCAAAAAAGTATAATATAATGACTTAAACCATAAAAATAAAAATAAAAAAATAAAAATTAGTAGCTAAACAAGTACGATGCATTTTTGTATCCTACCCTTGCGGGATGTGCTTGGGATATGTTTGTCCTTTTGCAACTTGTTTCTTTGCTCTATGTGCGAAATGACAGGACATCAATTTTGGGACCTTTCTCCAAAACATTATCCAAAAGTTTAATAGCCACTTAAAATAGAATTGTTTTTCAAGCAACTGAAATTGAATAGCATCTTACTCCCATTTGCACTACAACATTTTGAAGGGCATTTGGAATGAAATGAACAACAATTAGAAATCTTTCACTAACTGGTTTTGATGTAGAGAGTTCATGTTAGCCAACTTTTTGCCCATTTCTTTTTCTTTCACAAAAGATAATTTTCCTAACACGTTTCACTAGAACTATACATCAAGCACATGCAACATTGCATCGTGCCTTAATACACTACACCAAAACAGGGCATTAACGACGGTTTTTTTAACGGCGGTAACGAAAATCGTCGTTAAAGGTACTATTAACGGCGGTAACGAAAACCGTCGTTAAAGGTATCATTAACGGCGGTTTTGTTACCGCCGTTAAAAAAACCGCCGTTAGTGCCCACTTTTAACGACGGTAACAAAATCGCCGCTAATGCCCAATCATTACCGCCGTTAATGACGGCGGTCTTTGCCGGCGAAACTCCGGCGTGCTCCGGCGAAATCATCTACAATAATGTAAAAGTAATGTTTAAATATTTATTTAGGGAATATATTTCATGAAGAGTGGCTATGGTAGAGTGGTTAGTGTGGGTGGATGAGAGGTTGAGGGTTCAAGACTTGGGGAGTGCAAGAAGAAAGAATTATTTTTTGAAAAATTTGAACCTATTTACGGCGGTAAAAAACCGCCGTTTTTGGTCGACTTTTAACGGCGGTAATTTACCTTTTTACGACGGTTGTACTTTTTCCGACACGCGCATAAACGGCGGTAACAAAACCGCCGTTAAAAGCTTTAACGGCGGTTTTACAGCCTTTAACGGCGGTAAAAAACCGCTGCTAAAGCCCCATTTTGGCGTAGTGATAAACAATTGCCCATGTAAACTATAGTAGTTGATTTGATTCTTTTCAAGATGTAGAGAATATGAATGAGGTAGTTGAGACCACCCTAGGTCTAGCAAAGTGCAACACTGAGTGGTACTATGGTATAGACACCTTATTTTTGACCGTCCTCAAGACTTGGATATCACCGTTTGAATACTCGGTGATCATCCATGTTCGTGTTTGTCTTGAGTTCTCGGAGGTTTCGGTCGCGCGCCTTTCCTTAAGACCTCTCGACTTGCTTGTTTTGTGCTTGGTTGTGCACCAAACACTTGTGTTTTTGCTTCTGAGGGCAGGAAATGGCTTGTTGGCCATCCCCACACCTCACCGACCTTGGCTTGAGGCCACCGGCCTTGTTTTCTTGCTACTGGCCAAAGATTTTGGTCGGAACGGCGGTAATTTACCTTTTTACGACGGTTGTACTTTTTCCGACACGCGCATAAACGGCGGTAACAAAACCGCTGTTAATACCGCCGTTAAAAGCTTTAACGACGGTTTTACAGCCTTTAACGGCGGTAAAAAACCGCCGCTAAAGCCCCATTTTGGCGTAGTGATAAACAATTGCCCATGTAAACTATAGTAGTTGATTTGATTCTTTTCAAGATATAGAGAATATGAATGAGGTAGTTGAGACCACCCTAGGTCTAGCAAAGTGCAACACTGAGTGGTACTATGGTATAGACACCTTATTTTTGACCGTCCTCAAGACTTGGATATCACCGTTTGAACACTCGGTGATCATCCATGTTCGTGTTTGTCTTGAGTTCTCGGAGGTTTCGGTCGCGCGCCTTTCCTTAAGACCTCTCGACTTGCTTGTTTTGTGCTTGGTTGTGCACCAAACACTTGTGTTTTTGCTTCTGAGGGCAGGAAATGGCTTGTTGGCCATCCCCACACCTCACCGACCTTGGCTTGAGGCCACCGGCCTTGTTTTCTTGCTACCGACCAAATATTTTGGTCGGTCGGCAATGTTTTTGGTTGGCCGGCCACTTTTGTTGGTCAATCGGCCATATTTCCCAGCCGACCCCTTTCCATCTGCTTTTGGCAGATATTTTATGCCAGCTGTGACAGCTGGCATCCATGATACACTCCCTCCATACACGTGTATGGAGGGATTTGCTCCCTTATGTTAGCTTCTACAAGAAGCTTAGGAATTGAATTCTTATAAAAGGAGGGCCTCCCCTCCCTTTCCAGGGGTTGAACAACTCTAAGATATAACTTATATATCTATATCTCTCTATATCTCTCTCTCTCTATATAGTTGTGTGTGTAATAGTGTTCTAAAAGGGGTTTTTGTTCTTAGTTTTGCACTAAGACACCTAGTATTAGACCTTACTTTGGTTGCTGAGGTTTTAAGAGGTTGATTTTAGAGTTTTGAGTTGGTTTTTAATCAAAAAGAGGTGCTGAAGTTGGTGTTCTTGAAGTGTTCTTCAAGGGTGAGAACTTACCTTTTTATTCCCCATTTTTGCTTAATGTTTTAGACCTATTTGCATATTATTTCGAGCTTAGTGTATAATTGATAAAAGTTCTGTATTTTCATGCTTAAGATGTTTCACTGATGTCACTTTTGTGTTGGGGGTCGTCCACCCCCTCTTAGGTCATGTTTGGTCTCTTTTTGTGCCTTCCTCTTTGGGCTTTGTAACCTTTTTGTTTTGGCCTTCCCACCATTGAAATCCAGATGATTTTCAGTAGTGGAGAAGTGGTTTTGAGGTCTTGTATAGGGGAGGGACACCCCTCTCCCTTTGTGACTCATTTGCTCGCATTTAGGGTTCATAAAGGTAGCATGTTTGCATAGCTTTATTTGGCTCCATTTCAGAGGATATTTGGTGTTAGTTTATCATGTTAGACCTCTGTTTCATGTTGGTTCGATGGCCTATTGTATGCATCATGCACTTGCTTTGTAATCCCCTCTATTGTCATAACATGTACCATGCATTTAGACCATCATGCTTGCATGTTTTAGCTTGACTTCATGAAGCTTTTAGTCATGTTGTGACATGATTAAGCTCTGTTTGGTGTTGATTCAGTCATATTTTCCATGTTTTGTATAGCCCCCATGTATCCTAACTTGTTAGCTTTGAGTGTATGAGTCATGAGTATGCTTTATTTGGGTTATTTCAGTGATTTGAAATCATTTATCATGCCATTTCAGTCCATGCTCCATGCTTGTATGCTTGCATTCACCATCCTTTCAATGCTTTGAAGAGTTATTGTCTTATGCTTCATGTTTGGACCATTGTATGTGCCTCTGTGATTAGGTCTTTGGGAGGCCTTCTCATTGGGTTTTAGGGCTTATTTTGACATATTATAACTCTGATTTTATGGGCCTAATTCATGCCATTATTGGTTGTAGTAGGTGTAGTGCATTTCCCCTTTTGGGCCTTGTATGCGTCTTGTCTTGTGCTCGCCTTTATAGCATGTTTTGGCCTCATCCCATGCGTATTCTAGCCTTGTTTTGGTCCGCCTTGGGACTGTTTTGGGTCATCTTGGCTCTTTGGGGCTTGGTTGATATGGCCATGGTGTATGCCCTTTGGCTAGCTTTGAGCATTGAGTCCATTGGCATGCTATGCTTCACTTGTGTTTATGATTTGGCATCATTGTTTACATGATTTCAGAGTTCATTGCATTGTCATGCTCTCATGTTTGTCCCATTTTGCTCATGTTTGAGGATTATGCATTGTTGCATAGTGTTTAGACCAATATGTGTACATGTTTGTTTCGCATATTGGTGCCTTTTGGTTTAAGTCCATTTGGGCATGTTTGCATTCATGATATTTGCATGCTTGTATTGCATCATGTTTGCGTGTTCGGTATATTGCATGACACTTAGCTAGTTGCATCACATAACATTGTTGTATACTTGGCATGATCATGTTACATTAGTTTGAATTGCATGCTTAGGTTGTGTTACATTTGACATGTTTGTTACCTTAGTTTTGTGTACATGCTTGCATCACATTGTATTTGACATACTCTTGTTACATTGCCTTACATTCCCATGTTGCATTGCATTGGTTACATGCTTTGCATTGTATATGACATGCATACATTGCATTATGTTTGGTTTAGGGTGTTAAACCAAACATGAGGAATGAGGGACGTTCGTACTTGAAGTGACGAAACGTACCTCAATCCTCGGTCGCCGACTTCAACATGATAGAGTGCGTAGCATTCATTTGTTTTGTTGCATTCATTCATATTGATTTGCACATTTGACATCTTTGGCCATTATGCATCGAAATGCGTGATTTGTGGCCCGAGGGTTGAGAGCCATACTCCCTTGAATCCATAGCATGATAGAGAGGGTGGTCGTGCATACATTTGGCTTGGAAATTCCATGCCATGCACTGTCTGTCCTCTGTTGCAGCAAAATCAGTGTTCTGTAGGAAGAAATGGCCGGTCAGCAACTTTCAGTGCCGTCTGACTATCAATATCCAGCCGGTGGTCCCATTTTTTTTCGATGACCATATTTCCATGGCCGATGGTGTTTTATCTTGGCCGGTGACATCCCAAAGTACTCAGGGAGTGGTTCATAAGCAACCTTAGGATTTTCACAATTATCAGAGATGCAGAACAGTGCAAACAAAGGCAACAGAGGCATGGTAACGGATTTCCGAACAAGGCGAATCGAGCATGCATCATCCAATCATTTCGAGGCGGAGCTGCGGCGGCCTTTTGAATTTCATATTTAGTTTATTTTGTAATCAATTTGTTAATTCATTAAGGGTCTGTAATAATTAGTTAGCTAGAGTAGTTAATTATTTATTTGGTTTGTATTATTCTTTCGGACCCTCCGTCGAGAGGGCGAATTTGTAATAAGTGTGCGTGCATGTGTGAATGTCTTCCAACCCCACGTCTTTCTCCCTTTTACTTACCTGCTTTCAGTGGTTAGTCTTAGGTCATGTTTCAATTAGCATTTCTATGCTCGCATGTTTGCATCATCCATCTGTCTTGCATGCACTGGGCTCGGCGTATCATACTAACCGCATAGCATTTCAATTTCAACTTGAATACATGTATCGAGTTGCCGCATTTCACATGCCATTCTTAGAATAACCGAGCATATTTTAGTTGAATTTTTGCATGTGTTGCATTAGCCATCTTAACATGAACTAGGATCACACATGATTCCTAACTAGTTTCTTGTTTTGGCTCAGAGTACTAGGTAAGCTTTTATTCTTTAGCACCTTGCATGAGTGTGAGTGTTGCCATGATAGTATGCTTGCCATGAGGCTATCTGCTTATGTGATATAACTGCCTGAATGCCTGTGGGTGAAGGTTTGGTCACTTAAATTGGAATAATTTGTCGAAACCCGTATTTTAGCCTACTTACGAGTAGCAAACTTCAATCCATTTTCAAAACAAACGGATGAGCGATACTTTGTTCCAAATTAGGCAATCTAGTCTATACTTGTATGCTGTGCACATCACATAGTAATTTTAGGTTAATAACCGATTTAAGAATGCATAATGTTTTCAAAACTTGATATCATGGTTAGTAGAGGCCGATCTTTGATTGGGCGAGCGGGGGTGCTCACGATGTGACCTTCCCCAATCGTACCCAAGTTCCCGAGCCGAGGCAACTTTGGTGATGACAGACACGTGGCCTTAGGCACGAGTTAGGGTTTCCTAAATTCTCCCAAAATAAAATATTTAGGTGGCGACTCTGTATCTAGCAAAGCAGTCCATGTTTGACACTTCTTTCTTAAAAATCTATTTTCCAAAGCGATTTGCTGGATTTGGACTCTTTGGTGATTTATCGGTCTCGCATTGCACTTTGCGGGATTAGATTCAGAACCGTAACTCGAGTCCGAACTGTGGTAGCATAAAGCCCGCGGGCACGTCCACATATGGCACCGTCAACAATTTAATGAAGAACTTCCATTTACAAAGATGAAAATAATACAAATAAGGCACCAATCTCCATTACATTCCTATCTAAGAATGGGCTCAAACCTAATTTGGTGGAATTCTTTAAAGAAAACTCTGCTCCAGTGATTGGTGATGGGAAAAACACTCTGTTCTGGAGAGGTACATGGTGCAATAATGTGTGCTTGATGGAAGTTTTCCCTAGGCTCTATTCCTTGTCTTTGGATAAGTTTGAATCTGTCAATGTGATGCATATCAAAAAAAATAATGAGGTGGAGTGGAACCTCACTTTCAGAAGATCACTCTCTCAGTGGGAGGTGGAGGATTTGAATAGATTGAAACTGCTGCTGATTAATGCTCCAGTCTTTAGGGACAATATGGCAGATTCTTTGCATTAGAAAGTAGACCCATCAGAAAACTTCACTGTTTCCTCTACTTATGAGTGGTGCGATAATTCATTAGGTATAGTGTGTAAGGTAACAGATCTTATATGGAACAATGTATCTTCACCTAGAGCTCAATTCTCTGGTTGGCTGGCTTGGAAAGGAAGGATAAAGACTTCCAACTTTTTGTATAGAATTAGAGTGCTCTCTGATGAGGCCAATGTGAATTGCATTTTCTGCAATGTGGAAGTGGAGAGTGTCAATCATGTGCTTTTGCTTTGTCTTTTTGTCTGGAATGTTTGGTCACATATGCTAAAATAGTGGGGTTTGCATTGGGTTTAACCTGGTTTTGTACACTGTTTACTAGAATGGTGGGTTGGTACAAGGCTGAAAAAACAAGAGAGGGTGTTCTGGAAGGCCATGCCTCTGGCTATGCTTTGGTCCATCTGGAAATTGAGAAATGATTGTATTTTTAATGGCATTCATCCAAATTTTGAGGAGCAGTGTGAGGTCATTAAAGTGCGAGTTGCGAAGAGGAGCAAAGCTGCTGGCTCTTCTTTCTTAAGTTTTTCAGTAACTGATAATGTGAACAATCTGCAACAAGGAAGGTTCTGCAGTAGGGGTGTTGGCTGAGTAAAGATTTCTGTTGCTGTCCTGATCTTCATGCTGTTGCCGTTTTGTTTTGTTTGGTCAATATTTACATTGGTAGAGGTTGAGATCGCCCTTTTGGAGTGAGACCTTGAGTTTTTGGTGCTGTTTTCTAGAGGGTGATCTGCATCAGTGTGAGGCTTGCTGTATCAATCCATAATCCAATTCCATCCTTCTTGGCAACAGGACTTAATTTCTACTATTAAAGGCATCAGATATTCTTTGGGAGGAGTATACATTAGTGGAGGTTGAGATGACCTTGAGCTTTTGGAGAGTGGCCTGGAGCTTGGTGTTCTGCTGTATAATGTTGTACTTTGGCCTTGATTTCTCTGGAGTGTGGTTTGCATTGGTGTGAGGTCTGCTGGGATTTTTTGAAGGTTGCCTTGCTGCTGGGTGGGAAGATTGGGCTTGAAGACTGGGGTTTATCAAACTGTAGATGAGGTATATATGTGAGAGTGTTCATTAAACCAGCAGGTTCATTTTGCATTAGGAATGGGATTTGTATGCACTGGAATCTGTTGGATGTGCAAGGCAAGCTGTTGTGATGGTGCTTCTTGTTGTCTGTTGCTTTGCTTAGGTAGTGGTCTATTGCTTTGCTTAGGTAGTGGTAGTGGTCTGTTGGTTTGTGCAGAGGGATGTTTTTTGGTGGACTGTTTTGGTGTTTTTTCAGTGTGTCTTGTGGTTGTTTTCTCTTTAACCTTGAGGTGTGCTGGCAAATGATTGGGCATTCCTTGCGGTGCCAACCTAGTTGGGATTGTGTGGTTATGCTTTAATGCTTTTTGCACTTCCTCTTCCTTTATTTGATGTAATTCATTTGTATGGATGGCAATTATCATCAATAAAGGGCTGTTTTTTGCTATTCAAAAAGAAAAAAGAAAAAAGAAAAAAAGAATGGGCTCACATGCCCCTAAGCATTAGTTCTAGAAATGGGTACTGCTTCAAGGTGATGTACTTCATACAAGGCATGCATCAAATAATATTTCTTATGATGGATGGCGAAGTGTGCAAAACATACCATATTCAATATCTTAAATCTCAATACATCTACCCAGTACTTGTTTATTCAATTGGCACCTAACCATGACAGCTAAAATTCAATAAACTCGTCACTAATTGCTACTATAACAACCATAAATTAAATTTTGGCGTCCCAATTTCAACTCCATATAAATAAGAACTGAGTGTTGCATCCAAAAAAAAGATCAAAGCAGAAGAGGACTTACTGAAGAGAAGCTTGTCCAAGCTCTCATTAGTTACATACTCATACACAAGCAGCTTCTCCACATCATGCGCACAATAGTCCAACAAATTGACAACATTGTGGTGCTGCACGCGAGCCAACAACTTGGCCTCATTGGTGAACTCTTTCTTCCCCTGATTTGAGCTCTGCGACAGCTTCTTCACCGCAATTTCTCTCCCATCATTCAACTACATCTCCAAAACCCTAACAATCAATACAAATCCACACACACACACACACACACACACACACACACACACGTGCGCATATATATATATACATACATCGGTCTCGCCATGGATAGATAGAAAGATATAGGAATATAGAGAGATTTTAGACAGAGAAAATAAGACAAATCTAGGTGAATCGATGCTCTGGTTGCCTGCGACCGCGAGGAGGAAGGGGGAAGGCGCGACTGGTGAAGCGGTGGTGAGAAAGGGATGGGAGAGGAGCAACGAAGAGAGAGAGGCAGAGAGAGAGAGAGAGAGAGAGAGAGAGAGACATAGGCGCTAGTTTGTGGTTTGGAAACCAAATATATATATATATTACACCATTAGCGACCAAATATTTTTAGTCGCTAATTAATTTTGTAAATCTCTCCAAAATTTGAAATGTCGACCTTCAAATATTTTAGTTTTTGGCGACTAAAATATTTTTTTGTCGCTAAAAATATGTTTTTGGCAACCAAATTTTTGGTCGCCAAAGATAAAAAATATATTTTTATTTTCCATTTGGCGACTAAATGGTTTTAGTAGCCAAAACTCAATTTACGGCGACAGAAATTTTGTCGTTGAAAATATGTTTTTGGCGACCAAAAGATAAAAAATAATTTTTTATTTCACATTTGGCGACTAAATGGTTTTAGTAGCCAAAACTCAATATACAGCGACTAAAACAATTTTTTTGTCGCCAATTCTAGTATTTTTAGCGAATAAATTTTTTTTAGTCGCCAATAATCAATATACCCCGACTAAAAAAAATTAGTAGCTAAATATTGTACTTTGGCGACTAAAAAAATTTTTGGTTGCCAATTCCACAACTTTTGGCAACTAATGTTTTTTTTAGTATCCAATTTTGTTCGCCAAAGGTGCATTTTGTTATAATGGTGGTTTGATGAAATCCCAGATTCTTCCTTTAGAACGCACAATATCAAAGTACACGTGTTTAACTATGAAATTTCAAGTTTTAAACTAAATATGCTACAACTTAATTTTGAAAAATTTAGCCAAAACTCCTTCATTGGATTCTTATTTGGTGAAAAATATAAACCAATTTATTTTGCTTCATAAAACTCCTAATAAGGAGGCATATAATTGAGTAATGACAGAGTAAAATTTCTCTTTCTTTTCTTGAATAATATTGCCTATGCATATCTATATAATAAGGCAAGAGGCTTTTTGAAAAATGTTTCAAAATGTATGTGAGATACATTTTGATCCAATGATTAAGATCAATTCTAAGAATATATTAACGGTACAGATGCGTTTGATTCCCGCCCAAACACTCGGTGCTATCTCCCATCCACCCACATCTCCTCCCCCATTCCATCTTTATCTCTTCTCTGTTGCATGTCTCTCTCCTTTTCTCTCACCAAATTCTCTGCCTCTCCCCCCACCCTCCCACTAGCTGCCTCTCCCCCTCTCTTCCCTTTCGCAGAGACGCTACCTCTCTCATTCTCTCTCACCCATTCTCTGCCTTCCCCCCTCTCCCCCACCCTCCCGCTCGCTGCCTCTCCCCCTCCACCCAATCTCTGCCTTTTCTTGTCTCCCCCCATCCTCCCACTCGCTTTCTGAAGGCCAGGGTTTCCGATTAAAAATCGCGATACCTTTCTGAACCTCGATTGGAGCTCTCCGGTAGAGGCTTCTATCTGTGCAAGGTAATATTTTTGTCTCTGTTCCCCTTTTCACTCTGCTGAAAGACAATCACAAACCTTTGCAGAAAACAGAATTCAGAAGAAAATCAGAGTTTCTATATTTCTGTATAGATGGCCTCTGCAATCTTCTAATGAAGGAAGGAAAAGTTATGGATGCTGAAAATCCCTTTATTAGGTAATTTGGCTGTCTGTATATTGCTTTGGGTATAGATTTCAATATTTTTGTCTTTTATTTATTTATTAATTTCTTTTTTGTTTTATATTCCATTCTGTGATGAATCTGTAGATTTCTTGATATATAAACAAAGTAGAGTTTGTGATGAATCTGTTTTATATTCTGAATTTGTTTTATATTCATCACAGATTCTGTTTTATAACACATGTATGTATATTTAGAGAGAGAGAGAGAGAGAAAAGAAGAGGGACCTTTTGCAGAGATTTTATGAGCGACTTTTGTGAAAAGAAACACTTTTTGCAATCCGATTCGAGCCTTTCTGGAATTCGAGAGTGCGGCATAGAAGCCTTCAGTTGAATCTGTTTTATATTCCATTCTGTGATGAATCTGTTTTATATTCTGTGATGAATCTATAGATTTCTTGAATCTGTAGATTTCTTGACATTCTGTGATGGAAGAGTTTTGAATGGCTATGTGTTTTTGGCCCATGTGAAATGTGCATAAGGTGAACTTCATATTCTTCATTGTATGCAAGTAGTTTTCTTCCTGATTTCATTTAAATTAGTAGGATCATGTTAACACCAGTACTTGAAATAACTATGGAGTGTATTGAATTTCTGCATTTAAAAGTTCTGCATTGAATTTCTGAAATAAATATGGAGTGCATTGAATTTCTGCATTGAATTTCTCATTCTACTGTGAGTGGATTGCGGTGAACTTTAAATTTAAAAGTTCATTCATAGATGGAGATCTATTTCAAGTTTTTGAGTGTGGGGTCATGTGCCATTTTCATACAGGGAATGCTGATGAAGGCAATCAATTATATAGAAATGCTCTTCAGGTCCTTACAGATTCAAAATGTATGCCTTTGGATGACAACGTAATGGAAAAGATAATAGATTTACTAGAATTGCTTCATTTAGTGGAAAGGTATGCCTTTGTTTCAGTTCTGCCACTTTTCTAATTAGGAAACCTCTTTGTGCTCACACTACAATAATTTAACTACCTATGTTTGCATTTAACAAAATAAATTGATAGGTTGAGAAGTTTTATGGATGTTCTATTATCATGTGCACATAATATCTTTTAATATCTTTTGATAGATTTGAGTTGACATGTTGATTTAGATGTTCTTAAGGCCCGACTCATTGAAAGAAAGTCTGGATAAGTACTTCTTACGGAATCAGAGACGGACCCAAGAAGCTAGAGAGAGGGCTGAACTGCTTGAAAGAGCTGTGAGCGATATTTTACCTCTTTGATATATTTAGCTGTCAGTTTTTATCTGTTGGTCTTCACACATTATTAAACCTCACCATCTAATTTGTTTGCTACATGTTTCAGAATGGGGAATCATCTCATGTATTGAGAATCTTTGATGATGAAGCGCAAGCAATGCAATCTGCCCGTTCCTCAGCCAGAATGCTGTAAGAGTCTTATGCAACCGGAGTGGCCATTCTTTCCCAATATGCTGGCCAAAGGGAGCGCTTGAAGGTATCTGTAACAAAGCAATTGCTATACATGCTCCACACTCTCACATTTATTAATGAGTATCTGTTTTGATGTTAATAGCGCAAAAACATCCAGCTGTAGGGTCTGTATTTGTGTACTATTAATGATCACAAAGAGTCTAAAGGCTACAAACTTGCAAGAAGGTACTTCTTGGGATTGGAACCAACAATTTATCTCATGGTTGAGTGGTTGTTTGTATACCTCCTTTATAAGGTTGAAAGCCTGGGGGTAGGGAACCAAGGTGTCCAATGTAAATTTCTTCTGAATGATTTCTACAGTTTTTAAGTCAAAAGCTAAAAAAAATTTTGCATTAAAATGCAGTGTAAATATGGTTTGCTAATTCAGAATGCATCCAGTTCTCAACGTGCATAGTTAGTAAATGAAAGTTGGATCAATTTTTGTTTCTCAAAGATTATATTCGGTCTGTTGTAGTGATTCTAAATTGTGGAATGGGGCTGAGAGGCACTGCATAATTCTCAAAACAATTTTACTTTTTATTTTTTATTTTTCCATATAAGTTGATTCATAGCATAAACTCAATTTTGTGAAACTAAACTAAAATTTTAAGTTCTGGAAAGGACTTTTGAACTAGGAAAATGATGGCCCAATTCTGGAGGGTCTTTTTATGTTTTATATTCTTTAGTTTTGCTGGTGCTCTTTTACAGATTTACAGTGACTTGATCTCTAGAAGCTTGCTTTTGTTTTTAGTTTGTTCTGTTTGTTGTATTTCCTTGGAACTGAAGAAGAATTCTGTATATGAATTCTGCATATGATTTCGGCAAGAATTCTGCATATGAATTATGTAGAATTTTGGCTGATCAATCCACCATAAATACCAATGATGAATTTGAAATGCGTTTTAGTTTTAATTTTGAATTTGAAATGGGTTTGAATGATTTCGGTTTTGATTTTGAAATGGGTTTGTATGATTTCAGTTTTGATTTTGAAATAAGTTTTCAAATCTCTGTATTTTGGTATTTATGTATTTCTATGTATTTCTATTTATGTATTTTGATTTCGGATTTGTATGATTTCGGTTTGTATGTTTGCGGCTCTATATTTTGGTTTTGAAATAGGTTAATCTTTTGGTCAGTTTACCAAGACAAATCTTTTTTAATATACTCCAGGAAGCAACTGAATTAGCTATATACATACCAATCACCTTTCCAGATTATTTCTAGATAAATTATAATTCCAATATTCAAAAATCATCCCATAAGAATGTCTACTCCTACAGTATTAACTCAATTACTCATCCCTAGCAAACTCTAAGATCCTGAAAATACAGAGAGTTTGTTTACTGTTTAAGTGGAAATCCCCAAGCTCACAATCCTTCAGAGAGTCTAGCAGCAATGTTACATTGTTGTAGATTGACAATTGACAGCATCACAATCCTTAGATGTTAGATGTTAAGAGGAGGAGGACAAGACATGAGGTTCTCCTTTTACGGTTTTGGGATCAGCATCTTTTCTTTTCTTTTCTCCTGGAAAGAATGCCACAACTGAGTGACTGATTGTACAAAGCTCACTTTCATACCTGGCTGAATTGAGAGTATAGAAATAATGTTTGAAAACTAGGGAAAAAAAAAAAAGACTTCACCAACAAAATGCTCCAATTCAAATACTCTGAAACTTGCTTATTACATTCTCATCCTGCAAAAGAGAAGCTTATTGAAAAAAATAAATAATGAGAACTAAAACTTGATAGAGCTTACCAATATGCGGATCGGGACATATACTTCACTCCATCATCTTTCATACATTTAAATATGGAGTGTTTTGAAAAATTGGTAAAAAATTAATTTTTTGGCTTTTTTGGCAAAAAGCTGACTTCTTTTGGGTAAAAAAGCTGACTTTTTGGCTAAAAAAATTAAAAAGTCAAAAAACTGACTTTTTTTAACTTGTTGCCAAATTGAGCCTATATCTATATAATAAGTCACAAAGGTTTTTGAATTTATGTCAAAAATGTATGTGAGATACATTTTGATCCAATGGCTGAGATTAATCCCAAGTTTATATCAATGGTTTAGATTTGCTTTGGATGGCTCACATTTCCGGCCCAACACATTTATGTGTCTCCCCCATACCCTCTGTCTACCATTTGTCTTCCCATACCCTCTATCTACCTTCCCATTCCTACTCTCTGATGAGATGTGAAGCTTGGCTTGGCT